GGAACTGCCAGAGGTTCAAGCCAGATTCAGACAAGAGTGTGACATATGCTGACATCATATGTATCTTGACTAAAAAGCAGAGAATATCAGAAAGATGTTTACCTGTGCTTTATTGACTATATAAAGGTTTTTGACAGTGTGGATCATAACAAGCTATGGACAACATTTCAGAGAAGGAATAATCCAGAACACTTAATTGTGCTCATGGGGAACCTAGGTTGTACATAGACCAAAAAGCAGTCATTTGAACAGAACAAGGGGACACTGAATGGTTTAAAGTCAGGAAAGGTGGGCTCGAGGGTTGTATTCTTTCACCATACTTATTCAATATGTATGCTGAGCAAATTATCTGAGAAGCTGAATCAGAGGGGACTCATTAACAACCTGAGATACGCAGATAATACAGCCTTCCTTGTTAAAAGTGAAGAGGACTTAAAATACTTACTGATGAAGATCAAAGAACACAGCCTTCAGTATGACTTGTGCCTCAATATAAAGAAATCAAAAATCCTCACCACTGGATCAATAAGTAACATTATGGTAAATGGAGAAAAGATTGAAGTTATCAGAAACTCCATTTTGCTTGGATCCACTATCAACACTCATGGAAACAGCTGTTAAGAAATCAAACGATGTTTTTCATTATGAAAATCTGCTGCACAAGACCTCTTTAAAGTGTTCAAGAGCAAAGATGTCAGTTTAAGAACTAAGGTGTGCCTGACCCAAACCATGGTATTTTCAATAGCCTCATATGCATATGAAAGTTGGACAATGAATAAAGAAGACCATAGAAGAATCGATGCATTTGAATTATGGTGTGGGGGGAGAATATTAAAAGTACCACGGACTTGTGGAAGTACAAACAAATCTGTATTGTAAGAAGTAGATCTAGAATACTTCTTAGAAATCAGGATGACAAGACTTTATCTATCATACTTTGGACATATTATCAGAAGTGAACAGTCCCTAGAGAAGGAGATCATGCTTGGTAAAGTGGAGGATCAGTGAAAAAGAAGAAGACCCGAATGAGATGGATTGGCACAGTAGCAACAGGAATGGGCTCAATCTTAACAACTATTATAAGGATGGTGAGGATGGGGGTAGTGTTTCATTCTGTTGTGTATAAGCTTGTTGTGAGTTGGGACCAACTCGATGGCACCTACTAACAACAACAACAGAACATATACAATACTTGGTATACAGTTCCCTACACATTCTAGACATCATCCCACAACTACCTTCATCTTGCAATCATCTCAAATATCCTCTCTTGCCTTGCAGATATTTCAGCAACTACCCCAGTAGATGGAGTCCTGGTATGGCTCTTTAGGATAAAACACTAGACCACAAGGTTGGTTTGAACCACAGGGTCAGCAGTTCAAACTCACCAGCTACTCCTCGGAAACCCTATGCAACATCGACAGCATTTAGCAACACAAACAAGAGCCCCAGTATTTCGGACTCCTGGTGTAGCACTGCAGAATAATGCACTGGACCACAAGGTCAACTGTTCAACCTCGCCAGGTGCTCCTCAGAAACCATTTAGAGGGTCCTAAGAGTTGGAACTAACTCAACGGCACTTAACAACAACACCCCAATAGATGGTTATAGAAGATGAAAAAAAATCATATCTATAATTTCTACTTAATATTTATTTCAATGTGATGTTCAGAATGAAGAGCTTGAAAACAGTCAGCATTTGGAATCACTTATCAAGTCGTTTTATCTGTTTTGTTTGTTCCTACAACCATGGACAACTGAGAGATTATCTGAGAACAATGTTAAGAGTCCACTTGTAAAAAAAATAAAAGAAGTTGTATGTTGGTTGATTACATGATTTATTTTAAACTAACCCTTAATTTAAAATACATAAATCTATAATCAGTACTTATTGAAGTTCCCATGTAGTTTAGTTCAATTTCAGAAGAAACTCTGTGGGTTCTTGTAAAATTAAAATGGCATGTCTGTGTAGACCGTTGAAAGATGTCTCAAGGTCTGCTGAAGCATTATGCTTTAAATATAATACCTGATAACAACAACAGCAAAATAATTTTTTAAGCTTTGTTTTATGAAGACTTAATAATGACTACAAATATTTTTTAAATACTTGACTTTCTTTCCTTCATGTAGGAGTTCTACTTATAGTCAGTAGGCAAAATTCTATAGTTAATATTGTAGCATATTTTTCTCTGTTTATTCAGTATTCCTGAGGAAATAGAATTGGATATCCTCTCTCTCCTTAATGTAATGTTTGGGTTTTGGATCATTTGAGTTACACAGAAAACTATAATGCACTACCAGGAGGCTTCAAAAATTCATGGGAAAATTCTGTTATTTATTAATTCCATTTTTCCACACAGTTTTTGAAGATCCCTCATATACTGAAGAGAAAGTATATAGGAAGAAAGGATGCATCTGACTGCATTAGCACTATCAGGCCTACTGAATATAAGTAAAATTCACACTTGTTTTAAAACAGTACAGAGGATTTTTTGTTCTTTCAGAGTCAGTTTAATAGCAATATTGAATAATACAAACTTCCATCCATATCATGTCATTATCAACAACAAATACCTATATTGTTGTTGATGTTGTGTCTTTCTCCCACAGAATAGTCAGTACTGTCAAGTTGGTACCAACTCATAGCAACCCTGTGTAGGGTTTCCGAAGAGCGGCTGGTGGGTTTGAACCACTGACCTTGTGGTTTGTAGTCCAGTGCTGATCTTACAGCAGCACACCAGGATTCCAAATACTTTTATAGTACCTTTATAATATTAATGAATTAATTAATAATGAAAATGAATCTTGATGAGTTATTTTCACTCTCTCAATTTTTTCAATGTCATTTTTAGGAGACTTAATTGAATATCCACATACAAAATAAAATTTTTCCATAATAAAAATCTCCATGGAACTCTTTTTCTCTCTTAACAGGCCTCCTTGTATCAGTCCTCCATAGACAGAAGCCTGGAGAGACCCATGAGGTAAGAATTTAATCACATTAAGCAAGTAGGAATAGCCTATTTTCTGATTTATTTTTCATAGTCCTACTTATTTAATGCATTGATAATGAAGGTTGTCACTCATTTTAAGCACTCATACTTCATTAAGCCATATTAATTATGTTTCTTCATCATTTTACATAATCAGATTATATTTGTTATATAAAATACAATAAAGTTATAAATAAAATAAAGTTTTATAATGTTATAAAAACTAAGTGAAATAGTTCTGGGTTTCTTGACAACTGAGAAATTCTTCCCTACTCTTTCCTTTCTTTCTCAAATTTCTTTTCTTTCAATGGGGATTAAGAACATATAATTCTCAAAGTTATTAAATAGCATTTATGGTAATGCTTGAAAAATGTATAGATCACAAATATGCTATACATATTTGTTAAAAAAAATATTCTCACCACAAAAAGCTGGGATGTTGTTGCTACCAATGAATAAAAGCTTATTACACACCAGCTATTCTATATGCATAAACATATGCAATCCTTAAGAAAACACTGAAATAAGTACTTTGGCACTGTAGAATAAGCACAAGACTGCAAGATTTGTTTAAACTGCAAGGTCCATGGTTCGAACCTACCAGCCACTCCTTGGAAACTCTGTGTAAGAGTTCGAACCTACTTGATGGCACTTAGCAACAACCTCTACCTTATCTATGAGAAAAATGTTATTGTGGTTGTTAATTGTCATCAATTTGACTTCAACTAATGGCAACTTTATGTTTAACAAAACAAAATGCTGCCCACTTCTGTAGCAAAGATAACTAAATAGCTTGCCCAATGTTATACAGTGGTGAGTTATAGAGACAAAGTAGGACTTGAACCAAGATAGATTGTAAGCACTAGGCTTAATTAAGAGTCTGCCCAAGGTAAGGGCTGTTAATATGCTGGAAATATTACTCATTTAAAATTTTTGCAGAAATTGAGAAGCAGCTTAATAGCAATACTGAAAAATACAAACTTCCGTGGAACCATATCATCAACAACAAATATGAGACAGCTTCAGTTGGTAGAAAAAGTCCATTCTCTTTCATTGCCATTTTTCTATAAACTTTTTTCAAGGCCTCTCATATTTATCTAATGTTAATTTTCCCTTCCAAATAAGATTTATATCAACATCAGAAGGGAAATTGGTAAATTGGAAACTGTAAGTTGGACTTATGAATGCCATTTAGTTACATTCATATCGCTTAAGAAGGAGCTTGCCCTATCCCTCCTTTAATATCTTTTTCATCTATCTATGCAGTGAAAATGTTTATATGTTAGACTTTTCATCTGACCTGAGGATTGATGTATAGATAGACACACAGAACCTCACATAACAGGACTGTGACAGAGAAAACAGATCTAGGAGCATATTGAACATCATGCTTTGAAGAGTGTAGACAGATTCTGAGGTCTGGCTCTACCTCTAATTTTTCAGGCATGTGAGTTCAGTTCACCACTCTGTACAACAATGATAACAGTGCATATCTCGTGAGTTTGCCAATTGGGCTAAATAAGACAATAATGTAAACCCATTACTTGGACCATATGAGCTGACTTCGTTGCTACTGCAACAAACATAATTTTTCTTGTGAAGACATAATTTTATCTAGTGATTTGGCAGACTGCATCCTGTGATTTATTCACTAGTGTTTCTCTTTAAAAGATACTAAACCCAAACCCAGAACCATGATTAAAAACTTCCTGCATTTACAGTTTCCCTGCTATGTAAATGAATGAGTGGAATCTTAAGTCGTTTATTTGCTTACCTGATGTTTGGTCATTCCTGATTTAAATAGAAAACTTCAGAATTTGGGAGTAAAGTTTTTCAAAGCTAGGGTACTCAGGAAAAACCACAGGAAAAACCTTGAGGTAAGAGACATTGGTCTCATCAGATTTTTTGCATTCCCTATGGAAATATTCATGTTGCTGCAACTCTCCCTTGTTGAGAGAATATATGATCCATAATACATATGTTAATGCTGAACTGTCGATCACAGTATGTTCCACTAAGAAGAATTTTGACTGTAAAAGAGTATACAGAAATAGTACTTACTGTGAAGGAATTGTTGTTATGTGCCGTGGAGTCGGTTCCGACTCATAGTGACCCTGTATAAGGTTTCCGAGGCTGTAAATCTTTACAGGATCAGAAAGCCTCATATTTCTCCTGCAGAACAGCTGGTAGTTTCAAACTGCTGACCCTGAGGTTAGCAGCCTGATTCGTAACCACTACGCTACCAAATAGATTCCTTAAAATGCAGTTTGGAAGCTAAGAGTTATACTACTGACATTAAAACATTCCACTTGTCTTCCTGGTTCACATGGTAAAGCCAAAGCAAGTCCATTCCAAGCACTACAGAGTAGAAGAACTGTGCTTTGTAGGTTTTCTTGGCTGCAATCTTTACAGAAGCAGATCCCAGACTTTCACGGCTCAATGTTGCTGGGTGGGTTCAAACTGCCAATCTCTAGGTCAGTAGTTGAGCACAAACCATTTGCACCACCAAAGGAGTGTTCACATAATCAACCCTCCCTCCCCACCAACATCAATCAAACTGGTGCAAATTCTTTCTTTCAGTTCTGCAAGTATGTCCAGTGACTTTAGGAAAAGGAGGAAGAGCGAGCCTGCAGTAGGGCAGCCAAGTGGTTTGGGAGATCACAATTCAAGCAGGATCAGCCCAGGCCGAGTGGACCTCCCTGGCTCAAGTGCCACCCTTTCAAAATCTTTCATTAGTTCTTCTCCTTCTTCCCCATCAAGAGCAAAAGGTGAGTAACAATTACTTGACACTCAAACTATTTAGTAATTGTAAGTTTTAACCTGGAGTACCATATGAGAGCTGGTCTAGGGAGAATGATATGTGTTAATATTTAAATGCAGTGTCTTGGATAAAATGTAGTTTCAGAAAAATATACTTCTTCCTATTCAGTCTTAAATCAAGCTGGAAAGCAATTTGGACTGTGAAAAGGGCTTTCTGATTGGCATCTCTTCGTGTTTCTTTCCCAAATGTATAATTTGATTTTCTTTAAACAAATTCATAGTCAAAGCATCAAATAATGTATTGTCAGTCTACTTAAAAGATTACATTTACAAACATCTACATAGTGTTAAAGTTTTCTAATGTTATTACAAATAGAAAAAGCTAGTTGTAATAAGGAGCTCTGGTAGCATAGTGGTTACAAATCAGGCTGCTAACCTCAAGGTCGGCAGTTTGAAACTACCAGCCATTCTGCAGGAGAAAAATGAGGCTTTCTGCTCCCATAGAGATTTATAGCCTCGGAAACCCATGCGGGTCACAATGAGTCGAAACCAACTCCACGGTAGTTAACAACAAAGTATAAATTAATTTTTTAAAGTTACTTAAATTTAGATGCACATTTATCTAACCTAGTAAAGCTATTTCTTGAAATGTTTGCTCTATAATTTTTGTCAACATCTATATATATATATGTCAAAAAGTCTTGCTACTAGGGTTTCAGTTCATACATGTGCAAGTTTATTCCAAACAAAATGTGTTTAAACGCATCTCTGTATTCAGTGAATGATTACAGACAAGCTCTCTCAGTAATAATAGACTTGTCTTTGTCTCATTAGGATGCCTTAAAATAAAGGAAACTTTTTTGTGGGGAATAAAATTATTTTGAGGTCAGAACCAATAGCAAGTTTTTTACAAAACTCAAGTGGACATCTTTCCGAACTATTGAAGCTTTACTTGTTGCTGTTCCACATAATACAACAGTTTTTTTAGATAGATCAGATATTTTCAGGAAGGTCATGAGACCTCAAAGATTAATTCAGGGAAGAGAAGTCAGTTCAGAAGATTATAGCATCTGATTTGGGGGATTCCCAAGGGACAATCTTGATCAATTTTCTTCAAAGGACACAAGATGATCACAGGGACTTATTACAAAGAATTTTTTTAAGAAAGCTGAAAACTTTATTGGTAAGAAAAAGACAGGAAAGTTGAGCCAAGGAATTTGTGTCTCTACAACAATGTACCTCCTCATTCGTCCACGGTAGCTAGGTCTGTCCTATGAGAATTTTATTGGAAAACCTTACCCTAGTCACCTTATAGCCCTGACCTTATCCCTTCAGACTTCTTTGTTGTTCCAAAAACTCAAAAAAAATACTTAAAAGAAACATCATTGGAGTGCTTCGAGGATGCCCAAACTGCCATTTTGACATGCTGTGACTCAAAAAGCCCAGAATTCTTTGGGAAAGGATTAGAGAGATGAAACACTGACTTTTTGAAGTGTACAGACCTAACTAGAGGCTGTGTTGAGAAACAGTAGCTCTATATTTTGGTATTTGTGTTTAATAACGTTTTCTAGGGTTTTGTAACAATACTTTTTGGCTTACCCTTTTACAGTGAAGCATCCGTATTTTTTCACATAATAGAGTGTGCAATTCACAACTCTACTCATTGGTAAAAATCATCATCTTAAGATAAAAAATAGAGCATCAAATGGTCTTTTTAAAATTAAAAAGGATTTCATTTAGTATGGTTATTTTTAGTGTAAGGATTATTATATTAACTTCCTATCCCAAATACTTTAATATCCATTTAATGTACTCATAGGCTTCTGAAGAATTTGGGGAAGATTTTAAAGGCATGAAGTTTCAATAGAGATCTTTTCCTCCAATCAGATTTTATTTCTAAAAAGAAAACATCCCAGAAGATGAAGTAATTTGGCCTCTTACTATTAGTGTTAATTTTGTAGAGCAAAAGAAAATATCATTTCCATTGATATTCCAAGTTAAGATCAAACTTAGCTCTCTATTATCAAATTACAAAAATTAAAATGGAGGGGGGAAAAAGAACACAAAGAAAGCAAGATGCATTTACTTATGACAAAAGTTTTATGTTATACCCAGCTATTATTATAAAACTGAAGACAAAACAATTATAGCTGAAAATTAGTTTGCTTTTAAGATGCCCTACTAATTCTTTTATTGGAAATACCTGAACAGCAATAATCCATAGCTTCATAATTTTGCAATTTTATTAAATATTTGGAAAGCACTTTGTATTATAGATTTCTCTATCCAACACCCATGAAAAAATATTTGATACAGCTATGCAATTATTAATTAAATGCCAAATGTATAATGTACTCTTTATCTATGATTATTAATTGAATCAGACACAAAGTTTAACTCTAATAAACTGATCAAGACTGTGAGACATTAATCATTAAACATTAATGTTACTACTAAATCATACTATTATTCACTCAAAAATAATATTATGTACTTGGTATATGTTATTTGCCAACAGATGCATATCAACCATGCTAAAATAGAAAAATATACTAGCTACACTAATTGTTATACATGGTTTTATTAACTATCTGCAAAGCTACATTCATTTAGAAATTAATATCTTGCTTTTTAGAATTATACACTTTTTTCTATATAGCCGAAGTCACCTGTGTAACAATCGGTGTCTAGAATAACCTGCACTAACGGTTTTCTCTTTCCTGTGCTGTCTGATGCTTACTGACATGCTCTTGGTGAACCTTTTAACTTCTTAAAATGTCTCTCTTCTACCACGCTGCTCTCTGGATTAAAAGGTGGGGATGATAGCAAAATGTGTCCATCCCTTTGCAGTTATTCAGGGCTCAACGGCAACCCCTCAAGTGAGTTAGATTACTGTAGCACGTATAGACAGCATTTGGATGTCCCACGGGACTCGCCAAGGGCTATTACTTTCAAGAATGGCTGGCAAATGGCTCGGCAAAATGCAGAGATCTGGAGCAGCACTGAAGAAACGGTTTCCCCCAAAATCAAATCTCGTAGTTGCGATGATCTCCTAAACGATGAGTGTGATAGCTTTCCTGACCCGAAAATGAAATCGGAAAGCATGGGCTCTCTGTTATGTGAGGAGGACCCCAAAGACAGCTGTCCCCTTCCGTGGGCGTCCCCATACATCCAAGAGAGCCGCAGCAGTGGCAGATCCCGGATTAGACACAGGTCAGCCCACGATGCTCCCGGGTTCCTGAAAATGTACAAGAAAATGCACCGCATTAACCGCAAAGACTTGATGAATTCAGAGGTGATCTGCTCAGTAAAGTCGAGAATTATGCAGTATGAAAATGAGCAGCAACACAGGGGCCTATTGCATGGGTGGAGCCAGTCCTCCACTGAGGAGGTGCCCAGGGACATGGTGCCCACCCGCATTTCTGAGTTTGAGAAGTTGATTCAAAAGTCAAAATCAATGCCAAATTTGGGAGATGAAATGTTGTCTCCTGTGACCCTAGAGCCACCACAAAATGGTCTGTGTCCCCAAAGGCGATTTTCCATTGAATCTTTGCTGGAGGAAGAAAATCAGAGTCGACATCCTTCTCAGGTACAAAGAAGCTACAAACCTAAAACTCTGGTGCCCATTCATATTGAAGTCACCAGCGATGAGCAACCAAGAACTCATGTGGAGTTTTCTGATAGTGACCAAGATGGAGTTGTGTCTGACCACAGTGACTTCATTCATGTAGAGGGATCATCCTTCTGCAGTGAAAGTGACTTTGATCACTTTTCTTTCACATCGTCTGAAAGTTTTTATGGATCCAGCCACCATCACCACCACCACCACCACCACCACCATCACCGGCACCTCATCAGTTCCTGCAAAGGCCGGTGTCCTGCCTCTTACACTCGATTCACCACAATGTTAAAACATGAACGAGCAAAGCAGGAAAATGTTGATGAGCCCAGGAGACAAGAAATGGACCCTGGCCTTTCTAAACTTGCATTTCTAGTCAGTCCTGTGCCTTTCCGGAGGAAAAAAAATCCAACTCCCAAAAAACAGACGGAAAAGTCAAAATGTAAAGCATCTGTTATTGAGGCTCTGGATTCTGCCCTTAAAGACATTTGTGACCAAATTAAAGCTGAAAAGAGGAGGGGAAGTTTGCCAGACAACAGTATATTGCATCGTCTTATTAGTGAACTGCTGCCAGATGTTCCTGAAAGGAATTCATCACTTAATGCTCTTAAAAGGAGCCCCATGCACCAGCCTTTACACCCACTGCCTCAAGATGGTGCTATCCATTGTCCATTGTACCAGAATGATTGTGGGAGAATGCCTCACAGTGCCTCTTTCCAAGATGTGGACTCAACCAACAACAACTACCACCATGACAGTACACTGAATCTCCAAGGTGGACTAACTTTTCTTTCTTTTTCCTTGTGTTTGAAATACTCACCCTCCAGCTCTTTCATTTTCCATTCCTACATCTCATCATTCCAGAGCTGGATGACCACTTGACACCATTATGTGTTGTGAAGCAATTGCTTTGTTGTGCAGATTTATCTTCATGAATAGTTCTAATTTCCTCATATGGTATTTAGACTTCATTTGTGACTTAGTCATCAATTCACAAAATTTTACTTATTCAAAAGGAAAACCATTTGTAAATTAATGTTAGGGTTGAAACAATTGCTTTGCACATCAAGGCAACAAATAAAACAATTTACCAAATTAAAACTTCAGAAATTCTAATTGAATTTCAATATCCTTCTAAGACTAAAAACTTAGTTATTTTTCATTATAACATGATTCAAAATTGGTTATTTAACAGGTATCCTTTTCTTTGACTTTTTTACTAATCTTATATAGTTATTCAATCATAAACAATTCGCTCACATTCTATATAAAAGATAAAAAGACTAAGAAAGCAAACCCAAATACTTAACAAAGCAACTGATGGGTAATTGAAAACAATGGGGTTCATTTAATGACTATCTCCATTTAAAGGACACATTTGGGGTAAAATTTTTGTGAATGTTCCTTTAAGGTATAAATATAAATTTCCTTTTGGCTTCACTCAGTATATTCATATCCCCTTCTTTTCCATCACTGAGTTTATTTATTTTCTGCTTGTGCTAAAACAATTCTGTATCCATATAAGAATTAGATTATTAAGGTTAAATGCGACTTCATCTTTGTTTTCACAGATAGATTATCGCTTTCAATGGAAACACAAGGGCAAATCACAATTCAGATGTAGAAGACATGTTTAAGGCTTTTATAACTAAAAAAAAAAACCATTTTTGATATTTTTATCCAATTCTTTTTTATTAATTATTAAAGTACATCTGTTAGCTATGTGAATTTTAAAAAGCTAGAATAAACATTCCACTCTGAAACTCCCATAGTCAACAGTGTATCTTCTATATATTCACCAGGTACTGCCAAGTGCTTTACATACAATATCAGATTACACTGGCACAAACCAATGTGTATTAACAGTAAGCACTGTCTTACTATTAGGAAACTGAGGCACAGAGGATAAGACATTTGCCGACAGTATCTCATATAGTAAATAATAGAAACAGGATTCAAACCCCTAATAGTTCTGAACTTGTTGTGTAATTATAATCTCAATGGACAAAAAAGGAGTCCTGGTGTGGAGCTGCAGGATAAGCACTAGACCATAAAGTCGGTTTGAACCACAAGGTCGGTGGTTCAAACTCACCAGCCACTCCTCCGAATCCCTATACTGGGTCACTATGAGTCAGAACTGATTCAAAGGCACTTAACAACAACAACACAACAATGGACCAAAAAATAGACATAAAGAGAATTTCATGACCATGTAATATGTTGGACCAATTATAATTTCAGTGATTTACTTTATTAATATCTATCTTTGATTTCATTTAAACTATGCAGCATGCTTCAAAAATAATTCATTAAAATCTTAAAAATAAGTTTCTACAATTTGAATTTTCAGTAACAGAAACATATCAGAATCTATTTTTTAATTAACCTAATTTAAAATTAATTAATTAACCTTTTCCCATTTTTCAGTATCCTAATACTCAATTTCCTAATAGTCAATTACTCATATATCCTAATTTCTCAATGTCATATGCTTATGGAGTTATGTTATTGAAACATGATTTGAGAGGACTTTAAAATGCACTTGAATAGCATTATGATTTTTTTAAAAGCAAAATATATACTTTTCAACTGTGTTTAGCTCAAGTAAAAAATAATTCATATTCCATGGATTTGCAAAGTAATTTAAAATTTATGGTCATTGTTAGAGGCCTCTGTTTATAAAGAAGTATTAAATTACATTGAAAATCTACTGCAAAAAAATTTTCTACTATTCATAAAAATAACTGGTTAAGTTTTACCTGACACTCTTGTGGTTAAGTTTTACCTTCCAACATATAATGACTTTGGAAACTCCAAATCTCAGGTCACAAATGGTTAGGTATTTATTCTCATATGTCCCCAATATCCTACTTGCTGTAAGAAGTCAATTTTTTCTTGTAGTACAAGTAGCCAAAGTCTTTAAATGAGGTTTTCTTTTTATGAATCAACATTTTTCATTGCTCCACAGATTACTTTATTGACTTTATTTTTCAAGCTTTTTTGTTATTCACTATAACTAAAAAAATAATATTCACTATAACTAAATAAATAAAGGAATAAAAGAAATCATTCTAGGTTTGACTTAATGACAGTGGTGAAATTCTATAAGCTATATGACTGGGATTCTTTCAACCTCTTGTGACAGTTCCATATGTAAATCACATAAGTGCATAAATTATAAGATACTGCTAAGAAATACTTGCAGCCATATATTTGCAATGTAATTAATTATATATAATTTGGTTTATGGTGAAAATAACTCAATATTTCATAAACAGTTTAAAAATTGATAGCAGTTATTCTGCTCAGAGACATTGTATTGCTTTGTTTATTGCTTGGAATGCATACTTACTTTCTGATAAGATAGTTTATCAGCTGGATACAAGAACGCCGTAGGTAAGAGTATGCCCGCTTAAATCTCTATGTATGTAAAAACAGATAGAGAAGAGGAAATTGGCATAATTACAGTTTGTCATCATCATATTTTCTTTACTTTTCTCTTTTTCTTTTCCATTACTGCATTTTAAAATTATAGTTCCACGAAATGTTTCCATTTCTATCAGTTGTTGCTATTTTCAAGTTTTCCATTCTCTATTTCACAATTTATCAATCAAAAGATTGGCAGTTCTAATTCAACCAGAGGCACCACAGAAGAAAGACCTGGCAATGAACTTCCAAAAGGTCACAGCCACTGAAAACCCTATGAGGGTTTTGGAAGTAGGAGCAGAGCAGTTCTGCTCTGAAAACTTATGGGCGCATAAGGAGTCAGAATTGACTCAATGGCAACTAGTTTGATTTAGAATAGAAAATAATAAAAAATAATTTGAAAGGAAAAAATGTCTGCAACCATGAATTGACTTCCCTGGGTATTGCAGTATAATTACACCAGATATGCAGTGATTAAAATACCATTATAGTTCTTCTGCAATCTCAGACACTTATCCTTTCTAAACATTCTTGCTTTTGTGTTCCCCTATCATAACCTTATAATTGCCTATGAGGTTTATACTCAGGTGTTCATTTGTGGTGCCTCTCCAGATTTTCAAGGGATAATGGTAGCCACTGGGGGAAATGACTAAATATGTCTATTCATAGTTAAGTGGGTGTTCACTCTGACTTGTCCTGTCCTTCCAACAGACCGTGAGTCCCCTAGAGGTTACCCTTCGACACTGACTGACTTGGGGAGGAGTGCACCAGGGGAAAGAAGAGGAACACCAGAAAAAGAGGCAGTGAGTTCAACGACCCTTGACGTTTTTTAAGCAATATACTTGATAAAGCACTTGCCTTTCAAAGTTACCTTCCAAATCTAGTAAAGAACCTGGACTAAAAACATAAAAAAGATGATCAAGAACCTAACATGTTCTCTGGAGACTGAGAGTAGACCTCAAAAGAGTTTGTACACTTCCCTAACTCTGGTTCTGCCCTTGTTGTGGTCCAGTTTGGGCAAGGTGGCTTCATTGTGTAAGTTAAAGGTATGTTCTGCCTTCAGAGTTGGGCAGGTTAGTAGAGGTTCTAGACCACTGGGCAAGATATCCTCTCTACAGATATCTGGCCCAGTGATCTAGAAGACAGCTCTAGGTCATGAGTGTTGTAAATCAATACAAATTCCATATGATAATATTTTTAACCCACTTTTATCAAAGACAGCCTCCAAAACTCTGCTAACCTGCCCAACTCTGAAGGCACCACTCCTGGGAATCACCTACCAACTGGCTCTTAGTCTGTGGCCTTCAGCCAAGGCCAGAGTTCTGGTACACACAGTCTTAGTGTCACAAGGATCTATGGAAAACTGAACACTGGGCATACACTGTCAGACACAATACAATCACCCCTAAGAAGTCAGGAATGAAGTTCAGTTTGGTATAATTTTCCTAAGGTTCTCCAAAGTCACTAGGAAAGAGAATGGAGGCAGGGGACTACTTTGAAGGGAACAATGGGTGATGTAGTTCCTATAGGGTAGAGACAGTCTATGGGCCCCAATGTTTAAAGATGGGTTCATGTCCCAGCACATCAGTACTGAAAGATGAGCAACTGGTTGATATGAACTAAGGAATTCCTGAGCCCTCCAGGGAATGCAAGATGATCACACCTCCACCTTGTCCAGTAACTAGCCTCCCAGTGATACCTAGACTAATGTTTCTTTGCTAATATTTTAATACGAATTTGTAAGAGGGGTTATAGTCATATTTTTGCCCACTCTATCATGATTGAGAAGGAGGAATAGTGCTAATACATAGAATAACTAACCCTACATAGGGAAAGTCTTTGTTAAAGCCAGAAGTGCACCTAGGAGAGAATCCTCTACAGGTGTTTTGTTCCTTGGTGTGGCATGCATCTACCTTAGTTGCTAAAGTGAAATATGATATTCAATAGCTGTGGTGAATAGATCCTCCCAGATGTTCTATTTCTATCCCTATAATAGCTTAAATAGCTAAATGCAGAATGAATGGATGTATTTGTAAATTGCAGATAGGATTTACATTATGTATGTTTAATCATTACCTGAGGTTTTAATTATCTTTAATTTTTGTGAAATGGGTTTGTTTTGTTTTTTTTGTAGGAGATCTAAATTTTGCTTGTTTTAAGATCAGTAATAATTGTTTACCTTCTTTTTCAGAAACTTCCTGCAAAAGCTGTTTATGATTTTAAGGCTCAGACATCTAAGTAAGTAAAATATGTTTTCATTACTTGGTCTAAATTGCCTTTAAATACATTAATAAGATATCAGGAGAGAAATATTACAGTGGGATGTGTTACAAATAAGGTTTAATTCCCATTTCAGCAATCCACTCTAATTACATAGTTCCTTCAGAATTCATTGTAAAAGCACTAGTTTTATTTTCATATTGAGTTTACTTATGACACAATGCATTTTAAATTTTATTAAACATGTTAGAGTACAAAGAATTCAAATAATTTCTGTCTCAAAAATGGAGCAAAAATACAGTGTTGGGAAGCAATTAACACTAACAGGGAATTTGACAATATTTATCTATCCAACTATATCAAATGTGAAATCCTAGTGTGGTGCTGTGGGATAAAGCATTGGACCAAACAGTTGGTTTGAACCACAAGATTGGAGGTTCAAACACACCAGCTATTACTCAGAAACCCTATACAGGGTCACTGAGTCAGAACTGACTCAATGACACTGAACAGCAAGAACATATCAAGTACAGTTTATGGGGCTAATGACTAGAGCTCTGTACAAAGATTCCCTTAGTAAAATCTTCAAAGTTTAGAGAGTCTGAGCAAAGTTCTATCCTGTGGTCTTTTGATGTTGGTACCTTAATGTTGGTGTTTTATCCTTAAGAATGTACTCACCAAATAGGCACTCAGCTGAGGAAAATTAGCACTAAGCACACAAGTGTAAACTTCAGTGGGAGAGAATCTTCCAGATCTATAGTAGTCTGCGTGTGTAAACCATCTTTAGGAAAATTGATCTCCATTGAACTTGGAATATTGGCTTCATTATATACAACATTAAATTATTTTTGTTTGTTTAAATTAACATATATTATAACACAACTCTGCATTAATAAAAAATTATATGAATTAGTAAGTCTAGAAATGTGGTTCCACTAGAAGAAATCAGATAAAAATAAACTTAGTAGAATCTGGTAATGCTGCTGAAATAAGTGTAAAAAAATGTTTATTTAGAAATTAGGATGGATCCATGTAAAAAAAAGAAATCCTGAGAGGAAACTGAATTCTTCCTATTGATTGGATACGCACCATCTGCTTTGTTTCTACTGCACTAATTTCTTCTCATGGTTTTTCCCATTGTTATTTGGATGTGGTAGCATTTGTACAGGATCCATGTGAGTCCGAACCAACTCAACAATACTTAACAGCAACACATTGACCCCAAGTCACAGGGTAGCACTACTCACTGAGGGTTTCCATGGTGATACATCTTTTAGGGATGTAGACTGCCACATCATTCTACCACAAGAGGCTAATGGGTTGGATCTGCTGACCTGTCACCATTAGGGCTCCTCTTTATCTTTATTGTTGTTGTTGTTAAGTACCCTCGAGTCAGTTCTGACACATAGCAACCCTGTATAGAGCTTCCAAGGATATACTGGTGGATTCAAACTGCCAACCTTGTGGTTAGCAATCCCGTGTTTATAGTGCCATAACAGGACCCCATCTTTATTTTTAGGGCAACTGAAAATTTAATGTGCCTTCAATATGAAGTAGTATCCTGGTGTGGTGCTTTAAGATAAGCCAACCACTAGGTCAGAAGTTCAAACCCACCGGCTACTCTGGGAAACACTATACAGGGCCACTGTGAGTTGAAACAGACAAAATGGTACAACAGTGAGTGAGTGAAATTTGTCATAGGAGTCCCTCTGTAGTAAAAGATTGAGCACTTGGCTGCTAATCTAGACACTCACAGTTCAAATCCATCCAGAAGTGCCTCGGAAAAAAGACCTGGTGATCTAGTTCCAAAAGATCACTGCCATTGAAAACCCTTTGGAGCATGGTTCTACCCTGAAACACAGGGATTTGGGATGAGTTTACTCCACTGAATGGTAACTGTTTTTTGCTTGTTTTAATGTGCACCAATTCCTTTGATATGCAACAATTTTATAGTTAACATGAGAAACATTCTACATCTCATGTAAAACCTCTCTCCATTGCATATTTTGCACAAATAAATGATTCAACTTAAGATTCTGAAGTAAACAGTGAAGAAGAATCAGGAATGGAAGGCTTGGGACTTTGGAGAAAAGATCTAAATTAAGTGCTGTCTTATAAAGTATGACTGTGGAGGCAAAATAAGGAAGATAAATAATTATATGGTTCAGGAAGATATCAAAAACTGATATAGGAAGGTGAAAATTTAGTCATGAATTATTAAAGATGAGTAATGTTCTTATAGATTCATCCAAATTTATCTCCTATCTTCTTAGAAATAGCCAAAGTAGAATAACATAGTGTCTTGAAAATGTTTTAATTTAAAAAAATAAAAGATCCAAAGAAGACAACAGACAACATGCACATCTCTGCATTTAAAATTTGTTTCTCTTTGTGCCCCATTGAAAAATACAAGTATGAGATATTTTCTGTATTACACAAAATTATTTTTTATCAAGATTTTCTATTTAAATATCTGTCAAGCATCCTCAAAGATTCACAAATATATATATATACTTTATTATTATTATTATTATTATTATGGTGTTGACAATTTAGTATTCTGAGCCTAAAGGGTATTTATTATCATTATTTTAAGCTTTAGCATATCAAAAGGAGAAAGCTTCAGAGAGAGAAACAACTAGCTAATTTTAAGACAAAAAAAAAATCTGAAAAACTAGCCATCACTTGCCAAGCTTCATACTATAAACTAATGATTAGGAAAAAATAATCTGTCTCCTCCTTTTAGATTTCTTAGTGATCTGTGATTTACAAAAATGTGATGTTTATACTTGTTGTTTTTTAAAAAACCATTTCTAAAATCACATTGTTACAAATGAATTCTAAGACTTCCTGAGAAAAATCAGTATCTAAATGAGCTGAAGAATATATATATGATGCACATTTCCAAATAAAAATAGAATGCAGGTGCTGATCTTAAGAAGCATTGATATACATCAAGAAAATGACCATTTAAGCATGCCTCTTGCAGGGAGTTGTCGTTTAAGAAGGGAGATACTGTCTACATCCTCAGGAAAATTGATCAGAATTGGTATGAAGGAGAACACCACGGCAGAGTCGGCATTTTTCCTATCTCATATGTAGAGGTAAGTCCTTTTTGCTTCCCTCCTTGACAATTGATTCAAAAGTTACCACAGATCAAGAATAAATAGCTTCTTTCTTTCATAGAAACTCATACCTCCTGAGAAAGCACAGCCTGCGAGACCACCTCCCCCAGCGCAGCCTGGAGAGATTGGAGAAGCTATAGCCAAATATAACTTCAATGCAGACACAAATGTGGAACTATCTCTGAGAAAGGTAACACGATTATTTATTTAACTGGTGCACTTAAAGCCTGTATATATGGAGTCCCAGTGTGGCGTTATAGGAAAAGTACTGGTCTGCTTACTTCAAGGTTGGTGGTTCAAACCCACCAGCCCCTCCTCAGAAAACCCTATACAGGGCCACTGTGAATTGAAACAGATTCAATGGCACTTAACAGCAACAACATATGTTCAAAACAGAAATAAGTTAAACTTTCCTTCAGCATGGTAGCGTAGTGGATACATATCAGGCTGCTAACCTCAAGGTAGGCAGTTCAAAACTACCAGCTGTTCCATGGGAGAAAAATGAGGCTTTCTGCTCTGTAAAGATTTGCAGCCTCGGAAACCCTGTACAGGGTCACTATGAGTTGGAACTGACTCCATGGCACATAACAACAACAACATCATCATCTTTCTCCCACGGAAGCGCTGGTAGTTTTCAACTGCTGACCTTGAGGTTACCAGCCTGATTCGTAAGCACTACCCTATCAGAGCTCCTTGAGGAACCCTTAGTACAGTACTATTTCCTTAATCTGCCTTCTTTAGTCACCAGCCTCTTGAGTGACTCAGATTTGAGCAGCAACCTATCTGATTCTGTATCTCTTCTCAAAATATCAAAAAGGGCTCTATTAACTTGTTAATTTATACAGTTAAGAATAATTGTTGTTGCTGTTATATGCCGAGGAGTCGATTCCCACTCATAGCGACCCTATACAGGGTTTCCGAGGCTGTAAATCTTTACGGGAGCAAAACGCCTCATCTTCTTCCCGCAGAACAGCTGGTAGTTTCGAACTGCTGACCCTGAGGTCCACGGCCCGATTTGTAACCAGTACGCTACCAGAGCTCCTTTAAGAATAATGAATCACCCTATTTTATTGTTTGCTTCAATGCACATATTTGAGGCAACAGCATGTCTCCACACAACTCAGACAATAATATTCAGTGGTTCTGGACCTCCAGTATTTATTTAATAACTGGTGAAATATCATTATTCTTGTTCTGGCAGAACCTCCTCTTATTCTCTCTTTTTACTCCTAGTCATGTATTGTCCACAGATTCAAATCTCCCTTCAGGCAGCAGCATCCCTTCATACAGACAACCACGTAGTATTGCATGAAACATAGCATCTCACATTTCATACTTCTTTCTAATTGAAAGCTAGCTGAATAAAGCCCCTGTAATGTGCTGAAATTATTCGTTGTGGGGCACTCCACCATCTACTGGTGCAATTGTCCAAACATCCCATCACCTTGTGAAGGCAGCTACACAGTTTTTGCCAATGTATTTCTATTTATTTGTCCATTTATTACTAGGCCACATGTGGTTTTGAGTTAAAATTTTAAATTGGGTTGTATGACACTGCAAATAACAAGAAGAGTAACTACAGAAAGTTTCTATCATTGCAAAAGCCAGGAGTAGTACTCAAATATCCAATTGCCGATAAGGCATGGCCACCAAGCAATCAGAATGGATACTGGGATTTCATTTTCCTGGGGCAAGCCAGCTAGATGTCTACCATGGCCATAACTAAGTGCTTTGTTCTTCCCACCCTTGGTTAAACTCTTTGTCACTACTTAGCATAGACAGATTAATGAAGTAAAATGATGCACTGTCCAACCTCATCCCTCTGACTGGTTTCTGCAGTCACACCATCATACTAAGCTATGGTGAACTTTTCTGAAATTCTTCCAACAAAAGTTATTTCCTTGAATCCAATTATTTGGATAGAATATGTCATTAAGACATTTCCTGTTAAATTATTCCAGTTTTTAACTTACACAAGTCAATTCACACAGTAGCTGTATGAATATGTATAAGCCTATCCACAATGGAGTCCTGATGTGGCGCTGTGGGCTAATGCATCAGACTGCAAAGTCATTTGAACTGCAAGGTCAGTGGTTCAAGCTCACCAGCTTCTCCTTGGAAAGCCTATACAGGGTCGCTATGGGTCGGAATCAACTCAATGATACATAACGACAACAACAAATCCACAATTAAAAGTCCTAGTGTGATGCTGTGGGATAATGCACTGGACTGCAAGGTCAGTTTGAGTAGCAAGGTTGGCGGTTCAAACCCAACAGCCACTCCTTGGGAACCTGCGACTCGACAGCACTTAACAACAACAAATCACAACTAGCCATGCATCCTTAGGGAAATTTCTAATTTGTGAATGGTCGGTTAAATTGTATATATGAAAATAACATACTTGCATTCCTCTGACTAAATAAAAACTGTAATAAGATTTTTCCCAAATGGAAAATGATATTGTATAGCAGAAACCATTGGTAATTGGTAATCTTTCAGGACATCACATCTCTGTTTATGATGCATTTTCTTAATATTCATTGCAGGGAGATCGAATTATTCTTCTTAAAAGAGTTGATCAAAACTGGTATGAAGGCAAAGTTCCAGGAACCAACAGACAAGGCATCTTTCCTGTTTCCTATGTAGAAGTAGTCAAGAGGAATCCAACAAAAGGTGCTGAGGACTATCCTGACCCTCCAATACCCCACAGCTATTCTAGTGATACAATTCACAGCTTAAGTTCAAACAAGGTAAGAAGATACTCTATTACCTTAGTGTAATACCTGAGATTTGTAGTAAAGTAATCTATACGTAATTTTAAGACATTAGACTAGAACTTCATTGTCTATTGCAAAGAAAAAGATTTATATATGTTTCTAAGTGTATGAGTGCCATGATGGTAAATGAATTTTATTTTTCTTCAATAGGCAATGCTGTAAAGGTTTAATGCTTGATTTTGCTAATTCCATTTTCAGGCTAAAATTACAAGAAACCATTAATAGCATAAATGGATTTCTGTATGTGTATGTTTTTTGAAACTTAATATTTTTCTGAAGATGTTTTTCTAATAACACATATTCTTGAGGTATTTTTTTTTATACTCAACAATACATATTATTAGGTTGATAAAATTATATAAAATTCTTAGTATTCTTTATATAGCAGAAGAGCTAGAGCAAATGTTTCTAATTAGGATCTCCAAAAGTTTATTTAGATTAATTTGTTTACTAATTTGAATGATAATGTCATGGATAATTAGGAGTCCTCAAGTTTACAGAGCTAGTAGCTAAAGATAATTATCCTTTTTAATACATACTTTGAAAGGAACTTTGCTTCTTAAATTGGTTAATTAGAAAAGGCCAGCCTGCATTTTTTGTTCACAATGTGGATTTTTTTAAATTTCCTGCTGAATTAGAATATATTCTAATCTATGCTAGTATTCAGGATTTTCTTTCTCCTTTTCGTTAATTTCATAGTATAAAACTTAAAATTGCAAAAAAAAATTACTTCCAAAATGTTGTAAGAACTTCCCACCATTTTTAAAAATTTTTTGAAGTTGCGTAAGTTAATATTAATTGAGATCAAGGTTGAGACATGGAAAAAACAAACCATCTAAAGTAAGCAAAATAAAATCAATGTATCAGACATCATTAAACTATGAATTCATTTCATGTTCCAATGCAAGATTGTCTCAGGATAGTGTCCCAAGACACCTAAATTACTCTTTGAAAATTAAGATTAGAAGAAGGTTTTAACATAAGTAAAAGGTCTAAGAAATCACTATCCTCATAGACAGATTTCCCTTTAAAAGGGCCAAGACTAAGTTTTTTTATTTTTTTCTAATATTTTTTGAAGACTGGGTTTCAGTTGCAGAACAATTGCTCTCAATCCTACAGCACTGAATAGTGAAGCAGTTTGGTACTGTCCAATTTTGTTTAATTGAATATAAAGTTGTCCAAAATAATTCTTTAGTACATATACTTTACTACCAAAGTTTAGCATAAAGATCCTTCCTTCAGCAGTTTCATAAGTGTTACAGAATACTAGTTAATTTGACTTTCAGTAAGGGGAAGTTCATTGTAAAGCTAAGTATGTTGAGCCTGTTAACGTGTATTTGGTGACATGGAGGTAATGTCACTAGAGCAACAACAGGTAGTAATAGTAACAGCGGTAGAAATGAAAATATCGGAGTGCAACGATCTTTCTTCTTCATCCACACAATATTCCTGTTCATGACAGAAATGGAAAGTAATAATTTTCAATAACTGCATATTTCACAGACTTTCAAATTTTAATTATTAAACAAAAATATTTGTGTTGTAAAACATAGAGCTCTAACCAATAAGAAAAATATCTCTAAACTACCTTTTAACTTGTTGCAAATGCAACATCTAAGGACTTGATAGGGATGGCTCTCTAGCTAGTTAAAAAAGGAAAAAGATGGGCGCTGTAGGCTAAGCATTGCACTGCAAGGTCAGTTTGAACTACAAGGTCAGTAGTCCAAGTTCACCAACTGCTCCTTGGAAACCCCTTACAGGGTTGCTATGAGTCAGAGCCAGATCAATAGCACTTAAAGACAGCAACACTCACCTGATGTCAGGTGCTAAGCAACCTTTAGCCCTTAATCATGTATTCAGATGCTTAAATGAATCTGTGACACTCTGTGCCATTTATCCTACCCCATGATGACAATTCTTCCTTTAAAAAACAAAGACCAGCTAAATAAATTCAGTGACTGCCTCATTCTTATTATGGGAAACAGAAATCAAAACTTATGAGGAATGTACAAATGAATCGTACAGTGAAGCATATAATGTCCAAGGACTGAGTATTATTTACTTAATGCATGAAATATCATCCCAATCAACTAGAAAATGCTTCTCCAAAAACTTTCTTGAAGATTTCTGTTTTTCCAAACTATGTTATCAGCCCAGAAAGAGTTAAACCAAAAGTCATTTACCAATCTTTCTGAATGCTTTTATGTGTAAAAAAACCCACAACATTCTTTCTAATCATGCAACAAGAAATAATAAAAGGTTACTAGGTAGCACTTCTGTTGTTACTGTTGTTAAGTGCTATCTAGTCAGTTCTGACCCATAGGGACCCTGTGTAGGGTTTCCCAGGAGCATCTCGCCGACCTTGTGGTTCAAACCGACTTTGCTGTTCAGCGCATTAACCCATAGCACCACACCTTCTAGAATCACTTTTATTACATTTACACACAAAATTAAATGTAGCATTTTGATCAATAGGTCCAAAATACGTCAATAAGATAAAAATGTGTGGAAGTACATTTTTGCTTCAGGAGATCATTCTTCATAAATTGTATCTCTGCAGGTTTACATAAAATGTCAAGTTTTTAGACAGAATGGGCATCTTAGCAGAAATTTACACCCATTTGCCTCAAATGCTTCCTTGCCATACAAAAGATTTACTTGACCTACCCCTCCTTTTTCATTACTTTAAAATAATTATGTAAATTCAGTTTCCTTCTGATCATAGGTTTCCATTCTAGAAAAGAAAATTTTCTTCTTTTGAAGAACTTCTTCATTTAGAAATGTGTTACTGTAAAATTACCTAAAAATATTTTAGACCATATGTTATAAAAACCTTGCAAACATAAATGTAAAAATTATGAAAATTGAAAATAATTGACACCATGACAGGAGAAAAGAATACTTATCAAACCCAGGGAATAAAAAGTGAAACTTGATTTTCTGCATTAGCATGAGCTCAGAGTCATTTGTACTATACTAAACCAATATGTGGAAGCCTAGTTTAAAAGAGGTAAACTTAATTTATCTCTCAGGGATTTATGGCTTGTCCTCATAATCTCTGTGAATCAGCTTGTCATTTGACATCTAAAATCCCATCCTAAAACTGGTAGAGTTTCACTCTATGAGAAACTTTTCTAATTAACATATTAATGGTTTTGTATATTTGAATTCACCAAAATATCTTCAAGTCTAGAAAATAACACAGACTATTTTGCATATTCATTACCACTCCTTCCCTGAACCTCCCTTTGTCTTTTCTTGTGTTTTGATGCATTTCTTGTTGCTTTCTTGGTTTATTTATTTATTCTAATTTCATCACCCTTGCTTATTTCTAAGTTGGCTTCAAGTGAACCATGCCCTCTCCCCATGCACAAAACTTCACCTGGCCCAGGTAAAGGAGCTTTCCAGGGAGTCATCCATGAGTGGCTATCACTAACAAGCCCTTTGACCCCAACACCACCTCCTTTTCCGGACTTCTTGGACGAATTAGAGAAGGATGGTGCTTTAACTTTACCAGCTGACCAAGCCAAACCAAGTATATTAGAGGAGATAACCCTTGAAATTAAGGAGGAACCTTCTACTTGCCACTCAATCCTGCCAACATGTTTACCTATTGAATCACCTTATTCTCTGCTGTCTTACCCTGGCTCGGGTGTGACCTCAGCTTCAGCCCATCCATATGAGGTAACACCACTTCAGGATCACATGAAGACAACTCAAGAAACATTTGCAGATTTGAAAAAATTGAGAAGAGGATTTTCAGATCCTGAAAATGCACCTGAAGTCCTAGGTGATAAGTTTGTAGCCTCTACATGCACTAGTGTAAGTTCCTTGTCTCAAACACTCCCTGTGATTGGAAAGGAAGAGGAGGAGATGTATGAGGGGGTTATACCAGGCATCCGAAGACGGCCACCAGGGTCTCAAGAACCAGATTCTCTGTGGTGTGGCCATGATGGCAGAGAGATGACACCAGCCCTGCACATTGAAGAAGAGGAAGAGGAGAGAAAGCCTGGGCACATAAAATATTCCACCGATCCTAGCATGTCTAAGGAAGACTGCAGTCCTGCTAAAACCAGTAATGAGGTATTTTAATTCTGCCTAATTACTGAAGAACTAACCAGTCTTACTGTGGTTAGCTAGTACAGTTAATCATATTAATAAACATTCATTTTTATATTGCCTTAGGAGATTCCTCATACAACACACAGATACTGTATAAGTCAGGGGTTGTAGAAGGGTTGTATGGGAACAAACTATATTTTAGTAAGATGGCAAATATATGACAAAATTCCATTATCCCATTATTTCTTTATGGCTATAAAATTAATGTAAAAAGTCATTATAATTTATATAGCCTTTCTAATTTTCCAGTATTAATGATGACAGCTAAAATTTGAGCTCTTACTGAGTGTCAGATACTATTTCAAGAACCCCACATCTTTAATGTTCATACTCCAGTTATTGTTGTTAAGTGCCCTCTAGTCAGTTCCAACCCATAATGACCCTGTCTGTATAGGGTTTCTGAATAGAGGCTGGTGAGTTTGAACCCTTGACTTTGTGCCTCAAACTGACCTTGGGGTCTAGTGCTTATCCTACAGTGCCACACCAGGACTCCAGTTGTTGTTAAGTGCTGTTGAGTAGACTCTGACCCATAGCAACCCTGTGTAGAGTTTCCAAGGAGCAGCTGGTGAGCTTGAACTTTGCAGTTCAAATGGCTTTGCAGTCCAGCGCAGTAACCCACAGCGCCACACCAGGACTCCAGTTAAGTGGGCTATATTTTCATCCCTACTTTAGCGATTGATGCACAGAGAGATGAGTCCAGTGCAAAGGGGAGAAAATCATGTCCCATACGTTTTCTGTAAGGACAGCTTGGGAAAACAAAAAGAGGGAAAGAAAAAGGAAAAATAGAAGGAGAAAGGGAAAAAGGAAGGAGAAAAATAGTACTCCCCACATGACCCCCTGACTCTTCTGAA